CCGCAGCCTCAAGGACCGGCTCGAGTTCGCCCCGCGCGCCGTGCTGGACCGCAACCGCCCGGGGGGCGCCTAGGGCCCGGCGTCGCCCCCGCCTGCGCCGCTGCCCGGAGGGGCCGAGCCGAATTGAACCCCCGTGAGAGCCTGGGGCGGCGGCTGTTCGGCCCCTTCCCCTTCCCACCCCTGCCCAGGCTGGGGAGGAGCGATGCTGGGCGGGCACCCGGCTCCTGCGGGAGGCGGAGGGATTTGGGCTTGTTTAATCTGAAGGAGAGATTTGGGGTGGGGGTGGGTGATAGCAGCGCTGCAGCGCCCTGCACGGCTTGAAAGAGTTGAGCACGGGGCTGTTCTCAGTGGTGGCAGGTGACAGGAAGAGCAATGGGCTCAAGCTGCAGCAAGGCAGGTTGAGGTTGGATATTAGGCAGAGTTTTCTCGGTGGGATCTCCCTCCCTGGAGGCTTTTAAGACCCACCTAAACAAAGCCCTTGGCTGGGATGATGTAGTTGGGGCTGGGCCTGCGTCGCACGGGGGTCCCGTCCCACCCGCGTTTTCTGTGTTGCACATGGGAGACACCACAGCGAGGGGGAGAAGGGGCCTGGTTGGTTTCTGTGTCTGCTGCATCCGGCCCTGGGTGCTGCACGGAGAGCCTGGCTGCAAGGGCCAGGCTTGAATTTGCCTTCCCGGTCAAGGGCGTAGTGGGTGGGGGTGGCCGGGAAGTGACGCTGCCCCCAGTGGATGTCCTTGGTGCAGGAACGCGACCCAGACGTCTCCCTCCTCTCGGGGTGTGTTGTCACCAGGCTCGCGGCCTTGGGGTGCCTTGTGGGGGGAGGACGGTTGCACGCAAGCCTGGCCTGGGGATTCGGGCTCATCTTGTGTCCTGCCCCAAACACCCTGAGCACGTCTGGGCCTTGCCGTTCGGGTGCTGTGAGGGGATGCCCTGAAGATTGTGGCCTGGTTGGGTATCCCAGGAGCTGTTTTTCCCACCCCCTCCCCACAACCAGCAGCTGCTTTGAACAGTGGGCAGCCTCAGCTCTTTCCCCATCCCTTTCCTATCTGGGAGGAGAACGTGGGAAGCTGTTTTGTATGATTGGGATGGGGGGGTGAGCTGAAGGGAGCTGGGTCTGGGGTCCTACCCTGCCAAGCTGATCCCCTGGGGTAACTTGGAGCAGTCGAACCCAAATCCAGGGAGTGCAAATGCTTGAAATCCAGGCACAACCCCTGGCCCTGCCAGGGTGCATATATGCTTATAGGGGATGGCGAGGCAGCGCTGCCATCAAGTGGCGGTGAGGGGCATCTGTTTCCGAAGGAGAGAGGTCAGTGGCCACAGTAAAGGGCTGGTTCAGGAAGAATACAGGGCGCCGCCTTTCTGCAGAACAGCTAGGAACTGCAACCTTCCCTTCTTTCCAGGTCCAGGATTGAGGCTCTGAGCCTTTTGCCTGTCATCCCCAGGCTCCCTGTATGCAGAAATGCAGCTGCGTCTGGAGAGGGAGGTCATTCCCTTCTGGTGTGCACACAATCTCTGCTCCACAGCTGGGACACGGGACGTTTTACTCCAAGGCCACTGGACCCCCATCGCCCTTGCAGAGGGCCTGTAATAGCCACACCGCATGGATCCAGCCTCACAACTCAAGGATCTCATTCCTTCAGCGGAAGAGACGCCGCTCAGTTTCTCTGCCTAGGAGGATCTGCCTTGACTGCTGGCCTAGTTGGCAAAGTGCTGAGGCCTGCATCTCCCACTCAAATTAAAGGGTATGCATGTGGAAAATGGGTCGGGGTGTGTGTGTTTGGATAGGCACAGGGCTGCACGTGTGGCTGGCTCTCCAGTAGATGTATGGCTGGGGAAGGCTGTTCCTTGGAGCCTGGTCCATTTGGAGGAGCAGTGAAGTGGCTGAGGCAGGACTGTTTCCCGGTGGACTGTGCTCGTGGGCTGGGGCACAGAGTCTGCTCGAAGCTCAACCTAGGAATGCAGCTGGCACTACAACCCTCTGGGGTTTGAAGCATGTGCTTGCTATGGTGTTTTGAAGGAACTCCCTGAAGCGCTTCCCGGAGGCTGGCTGTGAGCAGAAGCCTTGGCACCAGTCACTCCAAAGGGGAGAGCCTCGAGCTGTCCTGGGAGGCAGCTCTCAGTGTCAAGCAAGGGCTGCGATGATCCGGTCTGCCTGGGAGGAGGAGGAGGGGATCTGGCCCTCTGAGGACACTCCCAGCAAAGGATGTGGAATCTGGTGTGGCCTCCCTTGGGTGCTAGGGGCTGGCACCAGCTGTGGACTTGGCTTAAAACATCTGTGCGTGAGCCTGGCTGTTGTGGGCAGAGGGGAGGCTCCTCTGCTGCAGCCTTATCTTATCTCCGTCTCTCTGGACCTTGACTTCATCTCCAGCACGTGACTCTGGGCTGGGATTCAGATCTGGGTTCGCTTCCCCACTCCACCATCGACCTGCTGATTGACTTTAGCCACAGCATTTTGCCTCTCAGTGCCTCAGTTTCCCTCATCCGTGGGAAAGAGGGTGCATCACTGGCCTCTTGTCTTTATAAGAGGAAAAGTACCAGATGGGAGCTGGGGGTGAGGAGGAATGGGTCACGAGCTGCGAGAGAGGGAAGGGAATGGGCTGGGTTTGGGATGAGCTTCCTCTTGCTTGACCAGCTTGGGGTATAAGCTGTAGTAAGACATGACCCTGCTCTTGCTAAAGACTGCACATGGATCCAGACTGGCAGAACCATGGCTTCTGATAGCTGTTGAAACCAAGTCACCGAATGCCCCAGGGGCTGCGAGCTGGCCACGGTGCAGCTGCTAATGCTTCCTTGCTCCTGGAGCCTTCCCTTAATGCTGGCCTGGCCATCCTCCCGCCTGACTGGGGGCAGCCGTGCTGTCCTGCAGCACGTGAGGCCCCAGGGTCAGCAGCCAGTTCAGAGCTCTGCCTTGCGCCAGCCCCATTTCCTTGAGCGCTGTGGGGTGAGAGGTCACCCCGGTTCCCACAGATGTTTTGTGGTGATGGCTGAGGGAGCAGCCAGCTAGAGCATGGAGCCCGTGCTTGACAGCTTTATTAGCAGCCCTCGCCGGCTGTGTTTATCTGCTGCACTCGCTCACGCATTGCTCCCCTTGTGGGGCTGTAATAACAGCCCTTTGGCCTTCAGCACTCAAGTCTGGGTGCTTTATGAGCCCTCCCGTCCCCTGTCCCTCGCAGGTTTTAGTGGAGGAAGGGAAACTGAGGCACAGGAGTAACGTACCCATAGTTGTGCAGCAAGCCATTGACAACACAGAGCAGGGACTGCAAATCCTGCTCCTTTCTCTGCACCTGCAGCTTTTGTGGGTGCAAGGCTCAAGTCTCCTCATGCCCTGCTGTGCTGTCAGCACCTGTGTAAGCAGCTCAAGCCCTCATGATGGGGGTGCCTGCCATGGCAGAGCTGCGTGGCACCTTGCTGGGCCCTGCGTTTCCTTGGGCTTCTCTCTGCAGTTGCCTCGTGGCCCCTGCCATCCCCTGGTCTGTGGGGAAGCTAGCTCTCCAGGCTTGTCTTTAATGGGAGCATTTTGCCCTGGGCCCAGCCCAGCAAGGGGCCTGATCTCCAGCCTTTGGGTCTTCTCCTTGTGCTGAAATGGATGGCACGAGGCTAACTGGTGCCTGCTGAGGCTCAGGTCCTGTGTCCTAGTCTTTCTGGGGGACTCCCAACTTGGGGCTGGAGGCAGTCATGTCATCACTGGCTGCTCCTTCTCAGACCAGGGCTCCAGGATTGACATATGCCCTGGCCCTGTGGTCCTGCCCCCTGAAGAGATGAAGGGGATGGGGGTGCCCTTTCCTTGTCCCTGGCAATGACACCAAGTGACTAATTGCCTCCTTACAGTAGCAGTCATATTCATGACAACCAAAGCACTACAGAGAACCACCTGGCCTAAAACAGATTACGTGCCTGCTTAGCTCCTCAGGCATCTGACTGCCTTAAGCAGGGAGCTCGCAGTAGGTTAAACACTGCTGTAGACCCTCCGCCCTGAGATCTCTGCGGTCTGGCTAGCAGAGGTGGTTCCTGTAAGCCTCAGAGCATTTCTCCCCAAACCCTGAAGCAGGAAAAAATGTCTTTAGGCACCCCAGGCTCCTTTTGTTCGCTCTGTTTCCTGAAGACCGAGGGGCTCTCTAAACTGCTGAGAGCCTGTTGTTTCCCAGCATTGGCTACTCAGGCTTGCATTTTGTTGGAGACAGGATCCTCGCTATTGGCCTCTCCCCCATTGTCTTGCAGTCACCCCCTGAGTATTTGTGCAGAGGGGCCATTGTGTTGCTTCTCAGACTTTCTCTGAAGCTTCAACAGTAGATCAATACTGGGAAGTCTTATGGTCCCGTATCCAGACATTGAGCGTCTCTGATCGGATTGCATGTGTGGTTCAGGACCAAACAGCGTGGTGTTCTTGGAGCGCTGTGCAGCTATTCTGCCTCGGCCGTACCCCGCGTGCATTAATGCAGCGATCTGTTCAAGCGATTCTTGGGCCAGGCAGGTATCACCTGCATGTTACATGGGGAAACTGAGGCACAGAGCAGTGAAGTGACTTGGCCCCAGGATAGCTGTGACAGAGACGACTCTCCTGAGCCCCCCTTTCAAAAACACCCTTCCTCCTATTGAATCCCAACAATGCCCCAAACAATTGGGGATTGTCTGGGGAAGATTATTCAGCGAACCCACTCGGGGGAGGGGAAGTGAGTGCTGGGCAGTGACTCATGGGAAATGGGGGTCGAATGAGCTGGGTTTTTTTGCTCTACATTTGCTGGATCTTATCTTTCCACCCGCCTCCCTCCTCCACCCCGGGGCTGCTATGTGGGCAATCGGTTGTGCTGTCATCACGCTGCTCCATTAGGTCAGCTGGGCCAGGCTGCCAGGCCCTTTTGGAAGGGCATCAGAGGACGTTTCCAGCAGCAGAGGCCACGGCTGAGAAGCCTCAGATCCGCATGGCAGCCCTGAAGCAGCAGCCCGAAATACCAGAGGTGGAAGGGGGAGTGCGTGCTGCAGCCTGGTTCCCTTCCAGCTTCTGGTGGCAGGAGTTTCCCTGTCTCTTGGGAAAGTCCCTCACAGAAAGGGTCTCCTGTTGCTGTTGGGATCAAGTCCTGTTGCTGTTGAAGTGCAGCCACCTCTGGGCTGGTTGAAATGTTACTGCGCTGGCTAGCTTTGTCCCTTCACAAGCATCAGAGACACGGGCATAAGGAGGCAACGACTGTAAGGGGCTTTTTGCTCCTCTGCTGGCAGCTGCCTGCATTATTTATCACCCTGGCTGCTGTCCTGCACACGTTGCTGGGGCTGGGGCTGATAAGGCTCGAGAGGCCTCTTCTCTGTAACCCACAGCAAACCTTTTCAGCTTGCTTTGCAGAGCTGCAGCTGAGTTCTATGGCGAAGCCCAGTACCCACCTGCCCGAGAAACTGGCTCAAGTGGCACAGGTGGCCTGTGCTGGCTTGGTACCGACCCCTGCCATGTCCCAGGTCTCAGTGCACCTGAGAACAGGATCCTGAGACCTTGCCCTGGCAAGCTGAAGTGCCAGCAGCTGTGGGGTAAGCATCTGGGCTGGTTGCGAGGCCCGGGGCTGGGATGCCGCGTGTTCCCCACTGAGATGCATAAGTGGCTTCCTCTGACCACAGGTGCTGTAGGTCAGATGTAGCAGCAGGGGTCTGCTGGAGTCCCTGAGCTCAGCTCCCCTTTGCAGCGTGTCTTTCCAGGACTTCCACGAAGGTAGGGCAGGCTTGTTACACCGGCCTTACAGAGAGGAAAGCTGAAGGCTTTGTCGGATGTTACACTTTGCACATGTTAAGTGCACTTATAACACGAGTCTGTGTGTTCAAGCAGTAAAATGTACTAAGCATGCTCATATGGCAAAGTTAGGACGTTTTGCGGGAGGAGTGTCGCATTAACTAGCCCACGTTCTGCTATCATCTGACTGCTCTAAAGAGATAAAAGGAGCAATTTGTGATCCCAGGTCTGGGGCTGCTGATCGTTGGCCCAGTCTTAGGACTGCACCAGAGTCTCAAACTGGCTCTGATTGTAGGATCCAGCGCCTCTGTCAGGCTTGGCTCCTCGGGCCTCTCCATCCACCCTGGGTGGCAGAGTCCAGATTTAGCAGAGCTCCCTGTGAGGCTTGTGGGTTGGGAGATTTGTAGTAATAATTACTGAAAGACTGCACACAGCGGGTTCTGGCTTTTAATGTGGCACGGTAATGCTTACTACAGTTTCAGTAAGCCACCAAGACAAGGTCCTGAGGTGCAGCTGGGGGCAGTCCCTCACCCCACCTTGCTCCTCTTCGGTCAGTGGCATGGCCGAGAGCAGCAGGCGGTTAAGCTGGGGCTTGTGGCCCTGACGGTAGTAGCCTGTGGGGCTGTTTAGTGGGGCAGCTGGCAAAGCTGTTCCTGCCCCCATACCCAGTGCCCTTCACTCTGTATATGTGGCTTGTGCTTGGCCTTGAAACTGCCCCCTTGCTAAAGCACCTGCTTGGACTTCCATAGTTTCATAGCTGTTAGGGTCGGAAGGGACCTATTTGATCATCGAGTCCGACCCCCTGCCCTGGGCAGGAATGAGTGTTGGGGTCAGATGACCCCAGCCCGGTGTCTGTTCAACCTCCTTTTAAACACCTCCAAGGACGGGGACAGCACCACCTCCCTTGGGAGCGTATTCTGTATTTTTGCAACCCTCACTGTAAAGAGTTTTTTCCCTGATGTCCAGTCTGAATTTGCTCTCTTCCAGTTTGTGGCCATTATTTCTAGTTACCCTGGTGGGCGCTCCGGTAAA